TATGTATGTATATGTATGTATTTGTGTATGTATGTATATGTATGTATATGTATGTGTATGTATGTATGTATGTGTAGATATGTATATGTCCTCAGGCTGAGGAAGTCTCTCGGATGAGAGACGAAACGTTTCTACATTTTGTTTGCTTTGTTTTGTTTTTTTGTTTTCTTGTTTTTTGAATGTCCAGAGGACCAGATTGAACTTTTTTGGATTTTTCTACCTGGATTATTGAGCATGTATCAGGATATGTGGATTCTAATGATGTCTGTGATGTTTCAGATCTGAATCGACTCCTTTTTTGTATCAGCGTGACTCTTTGAGTGAGAGATAATGAACAAATTGCATTGTTTCACATCTGAGCTGTTGTAAATTACTACACCAACAAGAATTGTTTTACAGTTCTTTGGTGCCTCAAAAAGCTGTTCAATGGGATTTTCATATTATTCAGCCATGAGGTGTTGGGATTTGGTGACATTTTCTCTCTTTTCATCTATGTTTGTTTTTCTGTAGCACTCTGACTTGAACACATCTTTCTTCTTATTTTTTTTTTACTTTAGCACCATCAATTTTTTTTTCCTCTTTTGCAGAACCAATTTCACCTGCAGATATCGGCCCGTGTGCCTCCATCGAGTCTGGGAAGCTTGCTGCTAGCCATCCTGCAAGGTGGGGAGAGGGACAGGGACCAAGGCAACCAAGGAGGTGGCAGCTGGGGAGGAGCAGCTGTTATCTGTCCAGGCTGGGATGAAGGCAGTGAGGGTTTGCTGACCCACCTACAGAGGCACAGTGGTTCTGTCTGGCATTTGTGGGACATCATTAACCTGACTCGCATCACCAGGGGCAAGGGAGAGGTCAGCAAGGAGAAAACGGAGGATCAAATGGAAAAAGAGGTTTTGAACATGATCTCCACCAGCTTCCTGCACTCTCCCTCACCTATTTCCTCTGTGCTTCTCCTGGGATCTGACCTGGAGTGTCTCTCGTCTGTCTTGCGGGTTGCTCAACACCTTATCGCATCTCTACCTGCACTGCAATGGATCATGGGATACCCTTTGTCTCCAGATTCACTACACACTTTAGGAGGTCCCCTGGGACTGTTAGCCTATGGGGAAATCGGTCGTAAGCCAATAAGCTTCTACATACGGGATTCACTACAGCTGATTATTCAAGCAGTCACAGCGGCAGCCATGCTGAGGCCAGACTTGGCACTGGTTCAGAATATACTCGACTGTTATGACAAACCAAACCAACTTGAAGTGCCCTCATCTGGACACATTCTTGCCAGGTATGAACATGAAAAAACACATGGTACATGCAACCATTCATTAAAGGATCGGTTCAAATACAAATACTGAGATATATGGCATTGTGTATGTGCGTCAAGCCTTCTTGTGATGTCTTATAATATTTTTAAATTAAAATTTAGCTTTCCTTGAAGGAATGCATATCGCCCTCCATCATTCATATATTCAATTCAGTTTATTTATATAGCACCAAGTAATAACAGAAGTCATCACAGGGCATTGAACAGAAACATTCATATATAAAAATAATAATTTAAGACTTTATCTGAAGAGCAGACTGCTTTGAATTTACTCCATCACAGAACTCTCATCTTGAACAAGCATGAAGGCGACAGTCGAAAGGAAAAACTCTCTCATGAGGAAGAAACCTTTAGCAGAACCAGGCTCAGGACAAGCGGCCATCTGCTTCGACCGGCTGGGTTTGGTAGGAAAAGATACACAATGGCAGGTGAAGAATCACATGTTAAGATAGAAATATCCTGATGCATGCTCAATAATCCAGGTAGAAAAATCTAAAAAAGTTAAATCTGGTCCTCTGGACATTCAAAAAAACAAGACAAAGCAAATCAACAAAAAAATGTAGAAACGTTTCGTCTCTCATCTGAGAGACTTCCTCAGTCTGAGGAGCTGTATTCAGCTCAGTCTCTTAAATAGCACCGTCTCAGAGTGGATCAACCAGTTTTGCTGCTGACAACCAAAACCAGCTGATCACATGATCAAGAAGGACCATCAGCCTAACAATGGATCATTAGCACACTGATGGCTGTTCACTGTTCAAAGAGGGCTGAGTGATACTAGCAATCACAGCATTGTAAGAGGGGGACAGTTGAACCCGGAGGCCTCCACCCCTGTTTAACGATGGACGGTTTCTTTTCACAAAGATGGCCTCCTTTACTCCTCTCTCAAACCATTGTTCCTCTCTGTCCAGGATGTGAACATCTTCATCCCTGAAAGAGTGACCGCTGGCCTGGAGATGAGTGTAGACCGCAGAGTCCTGGCCTGATGATGTTGATCTTCTGTGCTGGGCCATCCTTTTGGCCAGTGGCTGTTTAGTTTCCCCGATGTAAGACTGATCACAGCCCTCCTGACACTGAACAGCATACACAACATTACTCTGTTTGTGCCGGGGGACTGGATCTTTGGGATGAACTAGTCTTTAATGTATTTTGGGGTTTAAAAGCCACTGGGACGTTATGTTTAGAAAATAAATGTCAGTTTCTCTGATACCCCCTCAACATATGGAATGACCACTGGTCTGGGTCTGGGTTCCTCCTTTTCACCTGTTGGCTGACTGGAGTCCTGTTTGGGTTTCTTCTCTGCTTTCAGGAAGGCCCAGTTAGGATATCCACATTGCTCTAGAGCCTGTCTTGTGTGGGATTTCTCCTTCTGCCTGGCTCCCGAGCTAGTGGGGAAACTGTCTGCTCTGTGAGACAGAGTCCTGATGACTCCTAACTTGTGCTCCAAAGGGTGATGGGAGTCAAACTGCAAATACTGGTCTGTGTGTGTGGGTTTGCAGTACACCTCAGTTTGCAAATGTCCTCTATCAGAGACTGAGACCTCACAGTCCAAGAAAGCCAACCTGCCATTTTTTACATCTTCTCGTGTGAACTTGATGTATTTATTCACAGAGTTGATGTGGTCAGTAAAATGTTGGACTTCCTGAGATTTGATTTTAACCCAGGTGTCGTCAACATACCTGAACCAATGACTTTGTGGTGTCCCTGAAAAGGACGTCAAGGCTCTCTTTTCTACCTCCTCCATGCACGGGTTGGCAACAATAGGCGAAACTGGAGACCCCATAGCACACCCATGTTTCTGCCTATAATATTGCTCCCCATATGTGAAGTAGGTTGACTGCAGGCACAGCTTCAAGAGTTGACACAGTTGCTCCGTGGAAAGCGTGGTCCTGGTGCTCAGAGTGGTGTCTGATTTTAATTTTAAACTGACAACATCTACTGCATCATCAACAGGAATGCACGTAAAGAGTGATGTGACATCAAAAGAGACCATTGTTTCATCAGTCTCCATGATGACATCCCTCACCTTGTCCACAAAGTCCATGGTGTTCTGTATGTGGTGTTCTGAGCTGCCAACTAAAGGGATGAGTATAGACGCCAGATATTTGGAAACATTGTAAGTGACAGAGTTAATCATACTAACAACTGGTCGTAAAGGTACACCCTGTTTGTGGATTTTAGGTAAACCATACAGACTAGGTGTGGCCTCCCCTGGGTACAGTCTGTGGTACAGAAAACGGTCAATAGCCTTGTCTTGCTCCAAAATTTTCAGGCAATCTGTTAACTTTTTCTTGTAACCACTTCCTGGATCTCTTTTCAGAGGTTCATAAGTGGTTAAGTCACTAAGGAGTGTCATAACTTTCTCATGATAGTCTTTCTGGTTCAGAATCACTGTGCACCTTCCTTTGTCTGCTGGGAGAATGATTATGTTTTTGTCCTTGCTAAGAGTGGTGAGTGCATCCCTCTCCTCTCTACTGATGTTGGAAGGTGGTGGTTTGGCATTGCTAAGGCAGGCTGAAACTTTGATTCTGAGCTGCTCTGCTTCAGCCTCTTTAATTTTGTTGTTGCAGATGGCTGACTCAGTAGCTGTGATCATCTCCACCAGAGGAATTCTACTTGGTGCAACTGCAAAGTTCAGTCCCCTTGCAAGAATCTCTGTCTCTGGCTGGGTGAGCTGTCTGTCAGAGAAATTCTTCACCCACTTTTCTGTCTCCCTGGCATGTAATTGACTACTGGAGTGTTGTCCTACACTGAATGTGTTGTTATTGGAATAGTGATGGTGTTGATGAGCTATTAGTACATTAGTACACAACATTTTACTGACCACATCAACTCTGTGGATAAATACATCAAGTTCACACGAGAAGATGTAAAAAATGGCAGGTTGGCTTTCTTGGACTGTGAGATCTCAGTCTCTGATAGAGGAAATTTGCAAACTGAGGTGTACCGCAAACCCACCCACACAGACCAGTATTTGCAGTTTGACTCCCATCACCCTTTGGAGCACAAGTTAGGAGTCATCAGGACTCTGTATCACAGAGCAGACAGCATCCCCACTAGCTCAGGAGCCAGGCCTCTGATGACACAGATATGGCAGAAATTTGGCAAAGCGGCTGTGGACCTGTTTGCAACACGAGAGAACGCTCATTGTCAACTATGGTTCTCACTGAGCCCGCGGGACGAACCACCGCTAGGGGTGGATGCGTTTGCTCACAACCCATAGCCCAAAATTCTTCTTTACGCGTTCCCCCCCACTTCCTCTGATATTACGGTTTCTGAACCGAGTTCAGGGGGAAGGATTGACTGCTCTCCTGGTCGCTCCAGAGCGCGTGAACGCACCATGGTTCCCAGTTTTACGACGCCTGTTATCGGGGCGCCCATGGAAACTGCCGTGGAGGGATCAGGAGTTACCCAGAAACAGGCCAGCACCTTTGGGTCTGGCCGCTGAGCGAATCCGCTTAGAGAGGATGGGTCTCTCTCAAGATGTAGTGCGCACAATCCAGGATTCACGTGCTACATCCACCACAGCGCTGTACACATCAAAGTGGACAGCTTTTCAGCGCTGGTGTACAGAGAAAGGTGTAGAGGCCACTTCATGTCCACTAGGTGGCGTGGTCTCCTTTCTGCAGCAGCTGATGGACAGAAATCTGACATTCAGCACGATTAAAACGTATGCTGCAGCCATCTCTTCTTGTCACAAAGGTTTCAGGGACAGAACAGCTTTTAATCATCCGCTGATGAAGCGTTTTTTTAAAAGGTGTACAGAGACGCAGGCCTGTATCACGCCCACTTGCTCCACAGTGAGTTTTAACGCTGGTCCTGCAAGCCCTGCAAGCCCTGATCAAAGCTCCATTTGAGCCACTGAATCAGATTCCAATTAAATTCTTTTCTTTTAAAACAGCCCTGCTGTTGGCTTTAACATCCGCTAAGAGGGTGAGTGCTTTATCTGCCCTCTCTGTCGCTCTGTCATGTCTCAGAATTCAGGCTGAAGGCAGCTCAACTGATCTGAGACTTAACCCAGCGTTCATGCCTAAAAACATCACAAGCTCTTTTAAATCAAGAGCAATATCGCTGGAGTTTTTTTTTTCCCTCTCCCCCACAAATCAGAAGAAGAAGCATCTTTCCATCTTCTCTGTCCTGTGCTGGCGTTGACGTGCTACATAGCACGCACGGCCGCAATGCGTCAAACTCAACATTTGTTTGCGCATTATATAAATGCATCTGCAGGTCGCCCGTTATCCACCCAGCGCCTGTCACACTGGCTGTGTTAGGCCATTTCTGAAGCCTACAGAGCATCAGATTTAGAGCCTCCTGATAACCTCAGGGCACGCTCGACCAGGGGTATCACATCTTTGACTGCTTTGCATAATGGTATGACAATGCAGGATATTTGTACTGCGGCCGCGTGGTCAACACCCCGCTCATTTATTCGCTTTTATCTACGTGATGTGGCTCGTTCCATGACACATTCTGTCCTTAGTGTTTTAACAGAATGAATATTGTTGTTTCATGGAATCTCGTTTAAACTCACATCTTCCTGATGTATAGTGCATGCATATACAGTGTGAGATGTTATCAGTCACAAGTTGTAACTGTTCTGGTTCTATTGTCACTAATCAGTTCATGAGTATTGTTACCAATCGGTTCATTTGATTAATAATCAGTTCACTTGTTATTATTAATCTGTTCATATTGAGCCGTGAATCTGTTTGGTTCATGACCTTTTTTCAGCATCTTCCTTTCCCTGTTGAAAGCTTCCCGGGGCGCTCATGCACTCAGAACGCATACCTACACAGCACGCGTCTGTGCATGGTACGCATAATTACACACATGGAGAGCTGAGTGACAAGACATTTTTGGGCAAGCTGCCGCTTCGTATGGTGTTCGAATGGAGGCGAGGACTACATCTGCTTTGCCCTTAACCCACTAGCGACAGCTTTAAAGGGCGAAGCCTATACGAAATA